CTACTGAGATATATTCTTAAACAACTAACAAGATAATATAAAAACTGAAAAAAAGTGATGTTTTTGCAACGAAAAACATAATAGCCAAAATAAAACATTCAAAAAAGAAGGTTTGGAATTGAAATCCCACAACCTAGAAAGAAAAAGTTACAAAAAGTAAAAGAGGATGGATTTAAGACAAAGAAGTCATCCAAAAGCTCTAATATCCAACTAACAAGAGTCCCAGGAAGAAAAAAAGAGAAAATGGAAGGGGAAAAAAAATTGCCCAAGAAATCAGCAGAAATGCTCACAAATGTTCAAAAAAGCACAAGTGTCCAGCACAACAGCCAATAAAAGCGCCAATCTAGACACCATCTCAAAAAAGTTCCAAACATAAGGGCGCCCGGGTGGCTCAGTCGATTAAGCGTCTGCCTTCGGCTCAGGTCTTGATGGCAGGGTCCTGGGATCGAGTCCGGCTCCTTGCCCAGCAGGGAGCCTGCTTCTCCCTCTCCCCCTGCTTGTGCTCTCTCTCTCTGTCAAGTAAATGAATAAAATCTTAAAAAAAAGAAAAGTGCCAAACATTAAGGACAAAGAAATGATTCTAAAAGCTTCCAGAATCAAAAAAATCAAGTCATCTACAAAAGAATGAGGAGACAGCCCTGACAGTGAAGTGACACCTTCAAAGTTGTAAGGAAAAACTAATCTCCCTTACCCAGCCCAAATATGAGTCCATTCAGTGTGAAAGCAAAATAAGGAAATTCAAATGGCACAGCTTTAAGGAGGGTCATCTAACCCATATTAACAAAGAGGTGGCCGACAATACAGCCACTGAGATTTGAGTAATGTGTCAAGTAAGGAGTCAGTAACTTAAAATTAGCATTAATAATCTAGAAATACAGCACACACGGGTTAAAATAATAGCCATCAGAGGAACCAAAAATAAGAAATAGTTAAAAAGAGGTTCACTAGAGAGTACTTTTCATTATGAACCCTCCTCACGCCTGGATTTGTTACAATCTGCAAGTGTTGATTTGATCTTTTAGAAAAAATTAACACACGAGAGAAGCTATGAATGAGATCTTTTATAAATAACATAAAAGGACTTTGTTTTGGCTGCTCAGATGCCTTTTTTTACATTTCTTTCAGTTTACCACCTCTGTTGCTTACAGTTGAACTTAATATTAAGTGACCTTCAACTATGATGTGGAGCCAAGTACCATGGATCTGAAAAACTAAGAAATATTATTCTACAAAATATCCACAAGAGGGCAGTACAACCCTGTTTAGTACTATACAAAAATAACTTGACCTTGTTTTTTTAAACTTCATTTCCATGTTCCCCTTAAAATCTTTTCCTAGAAAGCACTAAATAGTTGTGACCTTCATAACAAAGTAGCCAGCAGCATATACATCTGCAGCATATATCTACTTTAAACAGTATTCAATGTCTATTGTTAACACTTTTAACACTACTAAATCAAAACACATTTTATAAAGTAGACGTGTGAAGTCGTGAAAGTCAGGACCCATGCTGGACGCTACTGCTGACATTCTCTTTTCACTATCCCCTATTTCTACACCCACCATCAATAATGGGCTTAGAGCTCTCCATTCCACTGAGGCGGAAGCAAGCTTCAGAACAAAGATCCTTCATGACAGTGACCCTCAGATACCACCAATTAGCTGGAATTGGGCACAAGGAATAAAAACCCACCCACCACCACCCCAGAAAGGAAAAATGTAAGCTGGGAAAGGGAAAAGAGAAGATGAAAAAAAAGTTAGAAGACCAATTCCATTCACTGTGAGTGGACACTTTTAAGGGATCTTCTAAAAGATCAGGGAACCCAAGGAAAAGTATCACATAAAGTTCTTACCTTTGCTGTTCCAGTCTGGGAACCATAGAAAATCTTCACTCCGGACACAAAGACTTCCTTCTTTTGAAGAGAGATATAACCATTTTTCATCAAATCCCCAGTTGCTTTTGGAACAGATTTCTGTGAGTTCTTGTCCTTGAAGATAAACAACTGCACAAAATCCATCAAGTTTGAATCTTTTCCCATCTTCAACTGGGACGAAAACCAGCACAGATACTGACCTATTTTACTATTCTCTTAATTTTTCTGGTGTACTCCTCAAATATTAACCCCCTGGTATAATTAGTCCTTTAAAGGCTGGACCCAGATTTTTTTTTTTTTTAAGATTTTATTTATTTATTTGACAGAGAGAGACACAGCGAGAGAGGGAACACAAGCGGGGGGAGTGGGAGAGGGAGAAGCAGGCTTCCCGCCGAGCAGGGAGCCCAATGCGGGGCTCGATCCCAGGACCCTGAGATCATGACCCGAGCCGAAGGCAGACGCTTAACGACTGAGCCACCCAGGCGCCCCTGGACCCAGAGTTCTTAAGACTATAAAGATCCCTACTTCCTCCAGGACAAAACTATACATACGTTCATCCATAATGTGCTTTAGTGGAATAACAGTAGGAACTTATCTACTGATCCTTAGTTGGTGGTAAGAAAAGAGAAGATAACTGCCCTTTGAAGATGCTAAAAAGATTGTTTTTTACAAGTTTAATTTTTCATTACAAAATCTTCCTGTATCTTAAGAGTGAGACATCCACAGCCCATCAAAGAAAACATAAATAACGTAGTCCATAATAACTTAGTCTCTAAAAACCGAAAAGGAATTTTTTGGGCATTAAAAAAAAAAAAAAAGTCTAGAGACCAAACATAAAAGTGACTGAAAGTTCCTTTTAGCTTTTCTGAAAACCTTAGAAAATCTGCACTCTAACCTCTCTGTAAATCTAATATCTTAACACTCTCCTATAAAAAATAATTCCACTTGGGCGCCTGGGTGGCTCAGATGGTTAAGCGTCTGCCTTCAGCTCAGGTCATGATCCCAGGGTCCTGGGATCGAGTCCCGCATCAGGCTCCCTGCTCCTTGGGAGCCTGCTTCTCCCTCTGCTTCTCTCTCTCTCTCTCTCCCTCTCTCTCTCCCCCTGTCTCTCATGAATAAATAAAATATTTTAAAAAATAATTTTAAAAAATAATAATAATTCCACTTACCTGCTTCCTGATGACAATCTGGAAACAAATCCAAAGGCTAATGCCAAAGGCAAAGCCCAAATAGACATAAAACCTGTTTATCCATAATGACATTAAAGGTGATGAGAAGTCCCATGTATCCAAAGGATCTAAATTTAAAATGATACATACATGTAATTTCACTTAAAGCTACATACATAAATCTGCTCATCCTGATTTTAAGCATAAAAAATAAGATAAAACCAACCTTCATTTTCAAGAACCCAGCGAAGAAATCTATAAAAAATCAACTCTAATAAAATACACCACTGCATGTGGTAATGATAAAATTATCGTAAAGATAATACTAACGCAGGAATATATACAAAATTGTACCTTCATTTGGATATAGCATTTGGAAGTAAGAGAAGTTGAAATACTTCATGTGGAATTATGAATTTTGCTTTGTGTGCTCCATAAGAAGCTTTAAAAAGTACTAAAGTATTCCCTTTCTTCTAGTTTTAAAGACCCACTGCTACTTGTAAAGGGTTCTCAACGGACCTCACACCCCATTTTTTTGGAGTGATATATGAATAGATCTGGCCTCAAATGTCGAACCTGGAGGCAATTTCAAAAAGCGAAGCCTAAAATGTGGGGTTTACAGGTGCTGCTCCACTGTGGAAAGGACAAAAGTGGGTTTTGCAGTTGCTGCTCCACCATGGAAAAAACCAAAAGCCATCAATCAACACACGTGGGTAAAGAGAGTGGGCAGTTTTCTCTGCGTTTTACTTGAGGTTAGAAGCATAGTTCCTTCTGAACTCATCCCTAGCCTCACGAGGCAAAAGCCAGGTCAAAAGCAAGGTTCAGTCCTCCCTTGCTGTCAGCGGCTCCCGTCCCGGGCCGACAAGTACAACAATCTGAAGGACCGGGCCCGAGGACACCACTCCGCTGGGAGAGGATCTGAGAAAAACGGGTTCCTCTCTCCTCCCCCGTCGCGAATTCTGCCCGCCGGGGGGCCCTTACCCATTCTCTTCAGAGCCCAGGCCCTGCGGCCCGACAGACCCTAGGGCTGCAGACCTGAAACACCTGGCGGCCGGCGCGGATACCAGGAGACCGCCAAACTACCTTGAAGCACTATCAGTATAACCCGTACCCGCAGCGCTGGGGGCAGCCATGCCACTCGCCAGCCCGTCGGGATTGGCTCACAGGGGGAAGGGGCGGGTCCAGAGGGAAGCCCCGCCTACAGCTCCGCGCGAGGAAACCGAAGCCCTCCCGGTCCCGCTCGGATTGGCTCAGAGGGGAAGGGGCGGGCCCCGAGGGAAGCACCGCTCACCGCTCAGGGTGAGGAAGCCGGAGCGCATCCCAACGTTTCCGAATTGGTGCAGAGGTGCAAGGGGCGGGTCCAATGGGGAGCAAAGCCTAGGCAGGCGTGGCATAGGGGGAAGAAAGGTGGAAAAGGCGGGCGAGTTAAGGGTGTATCTTCCACCAAATGCCATCTGTGGTCCTGTTTGGTCCTCAGTTGAAACACACCGACTATAAAAAGACATTATTTCGGGAAATTTGGTTGTGGACTGGCTATTAGATGATACTAAGGACCTTGGGGGATCTTGTTGGGTGCATCCGGAAGGAGTATAGACTGAAGTATTTAAAGCTAAAATCTTATAATTTGCTTTAATCTACTCCAATAGAGGGGGAGAATGAAACAAAAATGGCAAAATGCTGATAATTGTTGAAGCAGGGCGATGGGCTCATGGGGGTTCATCATACTTTTTTCTCAACTTTCTTAATCTGACAATTTGTCCACAATCAAGAGTTAAGGTAGGTGCAGCCCCGAACTCTGCGGAACTAAGAGGGGCCGAGGCCACGTTTCCACCCGGTCGCTAAAACGTCAACTTCACCAGCCAATCAGAGCTCCTTAGCTCATTGGCGGAAGTATATTACGTTAAGGAAGAGCGCCTCTCCTGTCGGGCGCGGAACGATGTCGTAAAAGCCACAGTGCGCAGGCGTTGTTGCTCTCTTTTCCTCTCCTGGTTCCTGCCACACCTGACGCCTGCGCAATAAGACAACTGGGTGTATTGTGGCGGCCGTCGGAGCAGATAGCGGTCGAGGCGCGTGCCGCTGGGTCGTTACAGCGAGACGCAGGTGGTCCTCAGGCCGGCGGCGCGGGTTAGCCTTGGTTCCCGGGACCCAGCGTCTTTGAGCAGCTACCATGTCGATCTTCACCCCCACCAACCAGATCCGCCTAACCAACGTGGCCGTGGTACGGATGAAGCGCGCCGGGAAGCGCTTCGAAATCGCCTGCTACAAAAACAAAGTCGTCGGCTGGCGGAGTGGCGTGTGAGTGACCCTCTCCCTCCCGGCTCTGGCCGGACACTTGCCTCCGAGGCGGCCTACCCCTGGTCTTCGAATGAACTGGGGTCTTAGTAGGGAAGGAAATGGAAAGCGTGAGAATCACTGTCCTTCCCGAGCTTAGCGCCTAAATCAAGGGTTCCTTTTTTATTTGGTTGGTGTGGTTTAGGTTGTTGGTTTGGGGCTTTGTTTTAATCGGTTGGTGTCGTAAAACCTACAGCCAAGAAACCTCCAAAATATGGTCGTTTTGCCCAAATAGCATTAAAGGTTTGGGACCTGGCCTTCCAGATAGTTCCCGTAGCAGGAGAACAGCCTGCTCACAGATCTTTGCCTAGTAGTTTCACCGAGGTGCGTAGTTTTTCGCTGCTGCCATCTAGGGATCGGGATTCTCTGGCAGCAGCCCGCCCTCCGCCCCCGTTCAGTGTTTCATGCATACTCCCGTGACGCCGTGACGTTTGTCTCAGTGGATAAGTGGGAACACAAATGCGGTTCTGAGTTTTGAAAATGTTCTCTCGCACTGAGGGTCGGTTAGGAGTTTTTGTTGCTTCTTGGAATTCATATCGTTGCCATCTTGTATTTAAATGCGAATGAATTTCCAAGTTTCAAGTGTGCTCACTTAGGGTTTTCTCTCCTGCTGTCACAAGGGAAAAAGACCTTGATGAAGTTCTACAGACCCACTCAGTGTTTGTAAACGTTTCTAAAGGTCAGGTTGCAAAGAAGGAAGATCTGATCAGTGCATTTGGAACAGACGACCAGACGGAAATCTGTAAGCAGGTGAGTTCTAACATCTACGGCATAATTGACTCTAATGTTCTTTGTAGTAGAAGTACTTATAAGTATGTTAAACTTTAAAACGTTATTTTTTGGGAGTGAATAGTTATCCTACAGTAGTTCAACCTGATAACATCACTTTTTTTTTTTTTTTTTTTTTTTTGGTGAGATTTGGGGAGAGAGGTTGGGGAGAGGCAGAGGGAGAGGGAAAGAGAAAATCTTAAGCAGGCTCCACTGCCTGGAGGGCTCAATCTCACAACCCTGAGAGCATGACCCCAGCCGAAATCAAAGAGTCAGACACTTAATGGACTGAGCCACCCAGGCACCCCTGTAACATCACTTTTTTTAATTGAAGTATAATAAACATACAGTGTTATATTAGTTTCAGGTGTACAACGTAAGTGTCACCACCTGTCAGAAAAGTGTTATTACAGTCTTATTGATTATAAACCATATGCCGTTCTTTTCATCTCTGTGACTTACTTATTTTATAACTGGAAGTTCAAACCTTTTAATCTCCTTTATCTATTTCACCCATTCCCTACCCACCTCCCCTCTGGCAACCACCAGTTTATTCTCATAATTAAGAGTCTGGGTTTTTTTGTCTCTTTTCTTTGGTCATTTGTTTTCTTTCTTAAATTACGCATGAGTGAAATCATGTGGTTTTTGTCTTTCTCTGACTTCACTTAGCATTATACCCTTTAGGTCCATCCATGTCATTGCAAATGGGAAGACTCGTTCTTTTTTATTGCCCCGTAATATTCCATTGTATTTATACACACACACACACACACACACACACACCACTTCTTTATTCATCTATCAATGGACACAGGTTGCTTCAATATCGTGGCTATTAAAAATAATGCTGCAACTACTGGGTATTTACCCCAAAGATACAAATGTAGGGATCCGAAGGGGTACGTGCACCCCAATGTTTATAGCAGAAATGTCCACAATAGCCAAACTGTGGAAAGAGCCAAGATGTCTATCGACAGATGAATGGATAAAGAAGAAGTGGTATATATACACAATGGAATATTATGCAGCCATCAAAAGGAATTGAGATCTTGCCATTTACAACGACGTGGATGGAACCTGGAGGGTGTTACGCTGAGTGAAATAAGTCAGTCAGAGAAAGACATGTATCATGTGACCTCACTGATATGAGGAATTCTTAATCTCAGGAAACAAACTGAGTGTTGCTGGACTGGTGGGGGGGTGGGAGGGATGGGGTGGCTGGGTGATAGACATTGGGGAGGGTATGTGCTATGGTGAGCACTGTGAATTGTGCAAGACTGTTGAATCACAGATCTGTACCTCTGAAACAAATAATGCAACATATGTTAAGAAAAAAGAAAAAGAAGATAGCAGGAGGGGAAAATGAAGGGGAGTAAGTCGGAGGGGGAGACGAACCATGAGAGACGATGGACTCTGAAAAACAAACTGAGGGTTCTAGAGGGGAGGGGGGTGGGGGGATGGGTTGGCCTGGTGATGGGTATTAAAGAGGGCACATTCCGCGTGGAGCACTGGGTGTTATGCACAAACAATGAATCATGGAACACTGCATCAAGAACTAATGATGTAATGTATGGTGATTAACATAACAATAAAAAATTTTTTAAAATGCAGTAAACATGAGGGTGCATGTATCTTTTCAAATTAGTGTTTCTGTTTTCTGTGGGTAAATAGTAGGGCGATTACTGGATCATATGGTAGCTCTACTTTCAGCTTTTTGAGGAACCTCCATGTTGTCTTCCACAGTGGCTGCGCCAGTTTGCATTCCCACCAACAGTGCATGAGGATTCCTTTTTCTTCACATCTTCGCCAGCACTTCCTATTTCTTGGTTGTTGTTTTTTATTCTAGTCATTCGACAAGTGTGAGGTGGTAACTCATTGTGGTTTTGATTTGCATTCCCTTGATGACAAGTGGTGTGAGCATCTTTTCATGTGTCTCTTGGCCATCTGTATGTCTTCTTTGGGAAAATGTCTATTGAGGTTCTCTGCTCATTTTAATCAGATTACTTGGGTTTTTTTGTTGTATAGCATCATTTTTAATAATTCAGGACATGACAATTTTGCCAAGCCTCCAAAATTTAAGTCTTCTAAGTTGCTTTATTTTGTCCATTTATATATTTTCAGTGTAATATACTTGAAAATAGAATTTCTTTTCAAGGATTTCACCATTTACAACCCTTGTAAGATTGCCTTTTCTCCTTTCCCCACCTAAATAAGGTCTTAGAGGGCAAGATAATCCAGCATATCCTTTTAGGTGAAGCTCAAGTTGTTACTTGTATATCAATAGCTGAGAAGGATGGAATTTAATTTTCTCCCCAAGTTATTCTTGTGGTTAACAAATACTGTGCAATAAAGACATTGCTTTTTTAAATCTGTTGGGTTTTTTTAGATTTTGACTAAAGGAGAGGTTCAAGTGTCAGATAAAGAACGGCATACGCAGCTGGAGCAGATGTTCAGGGACATTGCAACTATTGTAGCTGAGAAGTGTGTGAACCCTGAAACAAAGAGACCATACACTGTTATCCTTATTGAGAGAGCTATGAAGGACATCCACTATTCGGTCAAAACCAGTAAGAGTACCAAACAGCAGGTGAGTGGTTTTTAATGTCAAAAAGTATCCAAATGAAAATCAGTTGTCTCTGAAGAAAACACTAAAATAGTCCGTCTGTAATAATAACATGATACTACTTAGAAGCAGTTGGGTAGAGGTTTTGGGGAGGGGGAAGGAAATGATGGGGGTTATAGGGAGGAGTAATGGAATTTTTTTTTAACGAAGCACAAATGTACTACAGTTCTCATTTAACTTTCCAAATCAAACCTTTAAAGATAAAACTTAGGACTTTTTTTTTTAAAGATTTCTTTATTTATATAAGAGAGTGTGTGTGCGCACGCATGAGCTGGGGGAGGGGCAGAGGGAGAGAGTCTCAAGAGGACTCCACACTGAACATGGAGCCCAACACGGGGCTGGATCCCACAAAGACGAGATCATGACCTGGGCCAAAACCAAGAGTCAGATACTTACTGACTGAGCCACCCAGGCGCCCCAAAACTTGGATTTTTAAAGAGTCATTTCAACTCTGTATTTTACATTTTTTTTAATTTATATATTTCACATACAATTCAGTGATATATTCACAAAGTTTTTGCAACCTTCCCTATTACCTAATTTGAGAACATTTCTATCACCCCCAGAAGAAACCCTGTCAACATTAGCAGTCACTCCTTGTTTCCTCCCTCTCACAAGTGTTTGACAAATTTGTTTTCTGTTTCTATGGACTTTTCCATTCTGGACGTTTCATATAAATGGAATCATACAATATGTGGCTCTTTGAAAATTCATACCTATTATAGTACATGTTAGTACTTCATTCCTTTTTAGAACTCAATAATAACCCAAAGTATAGAAATACCATATTTTGTTGATGGATATTTGGGTTGTTTCTACTTTTTAGCTATTACGAATAATGCTGCTGTGAAATTCATTACAAGTTTCTGTGTGTACGTGTTTTCATTTCTCCGTACCCAGAAATGGAATTGCTAGGTCATGTGGTAACTATATTTAACCTTTTGAGGAACTGCCAAACCATTTTCCAAAACAGCTGCGGCATTTTACATTCCCACAGTCAGTGTTCAAGGGTTCCAATTTACCCACATTTTTGATGATAATTTGTAATTAATCCACCTTTTTCATTATAGCCATCCTGGGTGTATCATTCTAGTTTTGATTTGCATTTCTCTAATTATGATTTCAGCATATTTTCATGTGCTTATTGACCCTGGGTCATCTTTGGAGAAAACACTATCTAGATCCTTTGACCATTTTTTTAATTATTTGTGTCTTTATTGTCAAGTTGTAAAAGTTCTGTTTATATTCCAGATACTGGTACCTCATCAGATGTGTGAAATGCTAATATTTTCTATTTAATGGGTTGTCTTTTCACTTTCTTGATGGTTTTTGAAACACAAAAGTTGGTAATCTTCAAGTCCAATTTATCTATATTTTCTTACAGTTGCTTACGTTCTCTGTGTCCATCTAAGAACCATCACCTAATTCAACCAGATGGAAACTGCTTTGTTTTGAATCCCTTATAAGGTAATGCAGCAGACGAAGCAAAGAAATGGCCATTGTTTTCAATTTTGTCTTGCTAGGCTTTGGAGGTGATAAAGCAGTTAAAGGAGAAAATGCAGATTGAACGTGCTCACATGAGACTCCGGTTCCTTCTTCCAGTGAATGAAGGGAAGAAGCTGAAAGAAAAGCTCAAGCCACTGATCAAAGTCATAGAGAGTGAAGACTACGGTCAGCAGTTAGAAATTGTGAGATGAAAACACTCTTATTCTTTTGTGTTCGTGTTACCAAAGTCGTCTATTCTCTAGTCATAAATGTGTAACCAACATTTAGAGGGTATGAACAATAAAACGTTTCCAAAACCTCTTACATAGAACTAAGTAAAAATGTCAAGGTCTAAGTAAAACTAAATTGTAGTTAAGCACACTTAGGATTTTTTTTGTTGTTGTTAGTTCATGCTGATTTTGGATAAGAATATATTTTATAGTGAGTCTTCTGTTGTGAGGAAATTGGAAATAAGACTAAAAGTTGGACAGCCTTATTTACCACAGAACATTTTTTTTTCTTTTTAAAGATGCATTTATTTGAGAGGGGGTGGAGGACAGAGGGAGAGGGAAAGAGAATCTCAGACAGCCTCCCTGTTGAGCGTGGAGCCCAACCCCAGGGCTCAATCCCACAGCCCTGAGTTCACGACCCAACACGAAACCAAGGGTTGGATGTTCAACCGACTGAGCCACCCAGGCGCCCCCTACCACAGGACATTTTGTAGACGCAACAAAAGCCTTGGGTCTTATGTCCTCACTCCCCAGTGTTCAGACACAGTATAGATTCCATTGTCTGCAAATTGATGCCTTGAGACTTTGCAATAGCTTCAGTTTAAATGAGCTCTAGACTGGGATTGTTGAGCATTCCACTCAATGTGAAGCAACACATCTGACATTCTGAAGTTCTCAAATCTTTTCAGAACTTCACAGGTGATTTCTAAATGGGCCTTCAAGCTTCTTTTTCTCCTTCAGATATCAATAAAAAGCAGTGCTTTCACTGAACTATAAATGTTCATGCTAAATTTTGGTACAAAAAGAACCATAGTTTTCTAGTCCCATTCACTTTACAGCCAGGGAATCCAGAGAGGTCCTCAGACAGGGAGGTGAATGCCTGTCATAGGGCTTACATGCATACTTAAAGACAGAGGCTGACTTGGAAAACAGTATGGAGACTACTCAAAAAGTTGAAAATAGAGGGTGCCTGGGTGGGTCACTCATTAAGTGTCTGCCTTCGGCTCAGGTCCTGATCCCAGGGTCCTGGGATCGAGCCCTGCATCGGGCTCCCTGCTCTGCGGGAAGCCTGCTTCTCCCTCTCCCACTCCCCCTGCTTGTGTTCCCTCTCTCGCTGTGTCTCTCTGTCAAATAAATAAAATCTTAGGGGGAACAAAAAGTTGAAAATAGAACTACCCTACAGTCCAGCAATTGCCCTACTAGGTATTTACCCAAAGGATACAAAAATACTGATTTGAAGGAGTACATGCACCCTGATGTTTGTAGCAGCAGCACCAACAATAGCCAAACTATGGAGAGAGCCCAAGTGTCCATCAGCTGATGAATGGATGAAGAAGTTGTGGTATATATATGCAGTAGAATATTATTCAGACATCAAAAAGAATGAAATCTTGCCATTTGCAACAAAATGAGTGGAGCTAGAGAGTATAATGCTAAGCGAAATAAGTCAGCCAGAGAAAGACAAATACCTATGATTTCACTCATATGTGGAATTTAGGAAACAAAATAGATGAACGTAAGGAAGGGGGAAAAGACAGATAGAGGGAAGCAAACCGGAAGAGACTCCTAATGATAGAAAACAAACTCAGGGTTGATGGAGAGAGGTGGGTGGGGGATGGGCCGGATGGGGGGTGGGTAATGAGGGCACTTGTTATGATGAGCAGTGGGTGTTATATGTAAGCGATCAGTCACTAAATTCTCTCCTGAAACCAGTATTGCACTGTGTTAACTGACGAGAATTTAAATAAAAATTGGGGGGAGAAAAAGACAAAGGCTGGACTAGAACCCAGTCGGCTGCCCTGTGCGTTGTGTTCGCTCTTGCGCTGTAGGACTCCAGCAGTAGGGACCTCCGGAAAGTGGAGTGCGCTTGTCCTAGAGGAAGTTAACGCTGTGTTCCTTTGCATTGCTCGTCTTCATGAGGTGAGCAGCTGTGTTCCGTGTTTCAGGTGTGTCTGATTGACCCGGGCTGCTTCCGAGAAATCGATGAGCTAATAAAAAAGGAGACAAAAGGCAAAGGTTCTTTGGAAGTACTCAACTTGAAAGATGTGGAAGAAGGAGATGAGAAATTTGAATAACATCCGTCAAGCGCTTCAGCTCTAAAACACTAAAGCATTTTCTTTTCCCACAGTCCTCTCTTCTTTCTGTGGTCTGCCAAATACTTGCTCAAACTATTTGACATTTTCGATCTTTGTGGTAATGTGTACACAAAGAGACTCCTAATACGTATTACACTGTGGGAGGATTCATTCAGTTTTAATCATAAAGTGGGGTTTTAGGCAAAAATGAAAAATCCAAGATACAGAGGGCAGAGTAGCTTTTTGCTGCTGTGTCATGCCTTGTGCTTGGCAGCATGCAAGTTACCTGAGGCAGGTCTTGTGGGTAAAAAGTTAAACTCTGTACATTATAATAAGATAAATGGAGGAGGATATGATAAATAGTGTTTGCTGAAGAAAACATAATGTCTTAACGGAATGTGTGGCCTAATACATAGTTTGGATGATGACTTCCTGATTATCTGAAAGCTAGCTCTGTGACCACTGCAGGACTAAAGTAATATTCATTGAACGCGCTGCCGTAACCTAGATTATTCTCACTAAAAAATAGTCATTTGTTTCTAATCCTTAAAGTTTATAATACATAATATAGCGGAATTATTATGTGCAATCAATAAAACCACTCTTTATTTTTATTAAACTGTGGCTTGTATTTCTAGACAGCTTCCAAGCCCCCTTCCTTTTCTCTGCCTTTTGTCGGCTAGGGTTGGAGAATTCTCGGCAGGATGAAATAAATCCTATGAGGAGTGGTTAGAGCCGGGCCTGTCCTGATGGACACCTGATAAATCTTAGTTATTTGGGAAGTAATTGAATAAAATTTTTTTGTACTTAAACACTTAAATGGACAACATGCAAGTTTTTTAAAATCTACTTACCTTCAAAAGAGACGTTCTGGAATACAAATTGGGGTTTCACTCAAAATTAACATGTGGTTGTATTTTGTTGGACAGAAGTTTTTGACTTGAGCAGGTCCAGATGGGTTTTATAAGCACACAGAATTCACTGCTAATACAAGTTCTCAGAAATGGCCCATTTTAAAATAATTAATTGAAATTGTGAAGTCAAAATTGTTTTCTCATGGTGTTATAAGAAATACTCCTGCTGGATATCTTTGGAACACATGCTTCATATAATGCTGAAATTGAATTACTGTTTTGATACCAATCCTTGAGATGGCCTTCTGACCGATTACATTTTACTGCTACAGTTTATTGTTTCATGAAGTTGATCTAAACTCGAAGGCCCAGAAAATAATTTTTAACCAGTGGAGTTTACAGTTTATCTCCAGCTTAGTGTTTCAGGTTGGAAGTCCTAGTCACTAGAAATGTTCATTAGCTGCATCTTGAGTAGGAAAGTTCAACAATTAGACATCACTTTTAAGTTTTTCTCATTCTCATTATTCATCTCCTAAAAAGCTGGAACCTTAAGAAATGTCAAATGTAGATCACATTATAATGAGTCACGCTTCTGAACCTATAAAAAATAAATTTTTACCATATGTTAATCTCATAACTCAAAAGTAGTTAAAAATTTTGGTTCTCAATCATGCTTCCAGGAATGGTGCTATAATGCGTTGTTTGAAGGAGTGAGCTGTTTCTGTTGCTTTTTTCAATGCAAGCTTGTGTACATTTGGTCAGAATGACATTTTAGAATTAACCCTTTCCTGTTAGCACTGCTCTTCTGTAAAGTGTTGCTTGTACCCGAACACAGTCACTCTAGCCCGTGGGACCTCACACCGCTTTGAAATCCTCTCCGAGGACTGGATTTCACCCTGCCTTGTGTTCTAGAGAACTCCTTAAATTCCCACTTAGCATGCTGGATGGTGAGCTACTCAAGGGCAGGAGATGAGCCATTGACGTTTGGACCCAGTAAATGTGGAATAAATGTCTGTGCAGTGATACGTGCTATCTCAGGGCTGTCAAGTGAGCATGGCAGAAGACTGTCTCATCCAGCTAATGACTGTCAAATCCATCTTCCAAGCTAGAATAGGTGTCAACGCTTTGAGCTAAGGCTTCCCACCCTTCATACTAACGCATGCTGATGTGCCACTTGGCAGGTTTCTGGTCTGCACAGATACCCCCCCACACACACACACACACACGCGCGCGCAAAATTAAGAATAGAACTACCATATACCATCCAGTAATTGCACTATTGGGTATGTACCCCAAAATACAAAACCACTATTTGAAAGGATATATGCATCCCTATGTTTATTGCAGTATTATTTCCAATAGCCAAATTATGGAAGCAAATTTCCATCAACTGATGAATGGATAAAGAATGTGTGATACACACACACACAATGGAGTATTATTCAGCCATAAAAAAGAATGAAATCTATTTGCAATGGTGTGGATGGACCTAGAGAGTATTATGTCAAGCAAAGTAAGTCAGAGAAAGACATACCATATGATTTCACTCATGGGGACTTTAAAAAACGAAACAAATGAGTAAACCAAAAAAAAAGTAAAAAAAACAGACTCTTACCTATAGAGAACAAACTATGGTTACCAGAGGGGAGGTGGATGGGGGGGTGGGTGAAACAGGTGATGGGGATTAGAGTATATTTACCATGATGAGCACTGAGTAATATGTGGAATTGTTGAGTCACTTTATTGTACACCTGAAACTAATGTTCAACTACACTGGAATTAAAAACTTAATTTAAAAATAATATGTATTTGGCTGTTATAACTTCAATCAGGAAAGCTGAGTGAGCCTGTGGCATTAACTGGCCACAGATGGAGAAGACAAACTGCTTGCAAATACAAACCCCTGATCCAAAGACACAAGGGCAGTCAATCACAGGTACTGATTTATCACAAAGCTGCTTCTCACAAGAGCAACTCTACATAGTGTGTTTTTGTGTCGAACCGTTCGTTTATAATGGTTCATTCTCCCAAGCAATCTGAGGAAGCCAGCTAGTCCGTAGTAAAATGTTTATCACCGAACTTCAAAATCTGTATTCTCAACAGTAGTCCCAAAGTTTATGTTCATGAGACCAATAGCATAAGAATTTTTTATAAAATGCTTAGCATAAGAATTTATATAAAATGTTTAGAAATTTTTAATAAAGTGATTGCTTCCCTAACTCCCTGCTAGGGCAACTCCAAAATTACTAACCAAATCACTGTGGCTGGGATTAGGAGTCTGGAACAAAGGCTGGACAGCACTGCCCAGACAATTTTGAAAAAAAAGATCAATCAAGAGGAAGTTGTCTTACCAAATAATAAAACTGTCCATATAGCTGCTATGATCAAAGCAATGTAGAATTGGCACAGAACAGGCAAATAGAACAGAGCCCAGAGATGTGGGGCCCAAACCCAAAATAGATGAAAACTTAATATATGATTAAAAGAAGTTCTGGTAGGCAGAATAATCCCTTTCCACTTACCCACTCAACCAAGATGCCCATGCCCTAATCCCTGGAGCCTATGAATATACTTCTCTACACGGCAAAAGAAATTTTGCAAATGGAATTAAAGTTACTTTAAAGTAGGGAGATTATCTTGGATTATCCAGGTGGTCCCAGTGTAATCCTATGAGCTCTTAAAAATGGAAGAGGAAAGCAGACTGACTTGTTCAAAGATGAAGCTCAGGGGAAGAAGAGGCAAGAGAGGGTTGCAGCATGAGAGTACTCTACCCGCCCTTGTTAGCATGGAAGACGGAGGAATGGAACCGTGAGCCAAAGAACTCAGAGGGCAGCCTCCAGAAGCTGGGAAGGACCCTCAGCTGACGGCCATCGAGGAAACGGACAGCTGAAAGGTACTAAATTCTAAGAAATAACCTGGAAGAGTAAGGAAATAATCCCTGGAGCCCCTGGGATGGAACACAGCCTTGCTGACCTTTGATTTTAGCCCAGTGAGACCCATACTGGGCTTCTGACATAAACTGTATGAGCATCTGGGCGCCTGGGTGGCTCAGTCAGTTAAGCATCTGCCTTCAGCTCAGGCCATGATCCCAGAGTGCTGGGATCGAGTCCCCCAGTAGGCTCCCTGCTCAGCGGGGAGTCTCCTTCTCCCTCTCCCCTCTCCAGCCCGCCCCCCACTCATGCTCCCCCTCTCTCACTCTCTCTCTCTATCAAACAAATAAAATCTTTAAAAAAAGAAAGAACCAAGTGAGCTTCTGACATACAAAACTTCAAGGCGACAAGTGCATTTAAACTGCTAAGTTTGTGGTAATGTGTTAAGATAGAAGTAGAAACTAGATTACAAATGTTTCATTATGGTGAACAAAAATGGCTGATTGCTAAATAACATTTGCATAATGTCTTCTATCTAACACAGACTCCTACATCATAACATAGAGAAAAATAAATTTTACATGCACTATAGAACTAAGTGTAGAAATAAAGGCATGAAAAGTGTCAGAAAATATAGGAAAATATTTAACCTAACAGTAGAACAGGCTTTCTTAAGGAAAACAGAAACCTAGAAACTATAAACGAAAATAGTAAGAGATTTAACTACATGAAGGCGAAATTCCTGGATGACAAAAGACACTTCAAGAAAGCTTGAGGAAAAGAGGGCACGTTCTGCGTGGAGCACTGGGTGTTATGCACAAACAATGAATCATGGAACACTACATCCAAAACTAATGATGTAATGTATGGTGATTAACATAACAATAAAAAAATTTTTTTAAAAAAGAAAGCTTAAAGAAAATATGGTTGGAAGAGTAAGACAGGTGGAATGCCAACAAGTTAGGACAAACCAGTATAAAGGTCCTATCCTCATGCCGAGCACTGGAAATATGGACGCTAATTCGAAATAAATGCAGAATAAGATAGTCAGCTTCTCTCAGAGGAATACAAAGTAATGAGAAATCATTTTCTATCCATCATATTGAAGAAAAGGTAGAAGACTAATCCTGATATTGTCAAAAATGTAGAGAAACAGGTATTTTCATGCATTGCCTGATGGAAGTGTAAATTGCTACAACCTTTAAGGAAATCAATCTGTTGGTATCTCTCTCTCTTTTTTAATTCCAGTATAGTTAACATACAATGTTATAATAGTTTCGGTTTTACAATGTTATGATTCCACAATTCCATATATTACTCAGTGCTCATCATGATTAAGTGTACTCTTAATCCCCATCACCTATTTCACCCTCCCCAACCTATGTCCCCTCTGGTAACCATCAGTTTGTTCTCTATAGTTAAGAGTCTCTTTCTTGGGGCGCCTGGCTAGCTCAGTTGGCTAAGTGAGTGCCTTTGACTCAGGTCATGATCCTGGAGTCCCGGGATAGAGTCCCACATCGGGCTCCCTGCTCAGCAGGGAGTCAGCTTCTCCCTCTGACCCTACCCCCCCTTGTGCTCTCTCTCTCTCACTCTCTCTCTCAAATAAATAAATAAAATCTTTAAAAAAAAAAAAAAGTCTGTTTCCTGGTATCTCTCTCTCTTACTGTCTCTTCCCTTTGCTTGTTTTGTTTCTTAGATTCCACAAATGAGTGAAATCATACGGTATTTGTCTTTCTCTGACTGACTTATTTCACTTAGCTTTATACCCTCTACACCCATCCATGTCATTACAAATGGCAAGATTTCATTCTTTTTTATGACTCAGTAATATTCCATCGTATATATCTACCACATCTTATCTATTCATCTATCAATGCGCACTTGGGCTGTTCCATTATTTGGCTATTGTAAATAATGCTGCAATAAACAAAGGGGCGTGTATATCCTTTCAAAATTAGTGTTTTTGTATTTTGGGGTACATACCCAATAGCACAATTACTGAATGGTATGGTAGTTCTATTCTTAATTTTTTGAAGAACCTCCATACTGTTTTCCACAGTGGCTGCACCAGTTTGCATTCCCACCAACAGTGCACA